AATCACTTAAGCCCAACAGTTAGAGGTTGCTGTGAGCTGTGACGCATGGCACTCTACCAAGGATGACAGTGAGATTCTGTCAAAAACAAACAAAAAACTTATTTCATTCTGGATCTTGAACAAAAGAGAATTCTGAAGCTTGAAGCCTCTTTGGAATTTTCCATTTGTAATACAAGACAACTAGTATGCAATACATTAATGTTTATTAAAAAATTGTCACATTTTGTAATTCTTACCAACAACTCTGTAATACAGGCAGAGCTTATCATACCAAAGAGCTTAGGTGACTTACCAAAATCAAATATTAAGTGGTAAAAGACAGGATTTGAACCCAGGTTTTCTCAATTTAGGTATGGAACTGTTTCCAGATTGTTGTGATTCTCACAAGATCTTTCCAGCCTTTTGGACTAGGCCATCAAAAAGAATAATATCCAACTAATATTTGTTACCCAAAAGTTCTCTCTTATTCTGAATTGTCAACATGAAACTTTTCTTAAGACTTTAAAATTTGACTTAGTGAACAAATTTTTCAGATTTTTTCTCCCACTCTTACAATAAAGTATGGCAAATAAATTTCTCCAATATTTGGAGAATAATACAACTGGTATATAAACTCACCAATATTTTGCAAACGGAACTATGCAAATGTAGTTAATGGTCATTTAGATTTGTTAGCTTTTATAAACGAGCTGAAAATGTGGTTCATTTGAAGCTGCATTGAAAAATACACTGAACTTTCCTCAAGCATAAAATAACATTGAGGTGATTTAGCTAATACATTAATTAAGGATTCTCAATCGAAATATGGGCTAGAGCTTTATAAAACAATTTTTTCAGAGAATCTCTCCACAGATGCATGAAATAAAATATAAATTCATTACTATTTGTTAGCAAATCTTAGCTTCCACAGAGATTATAACTAACTTAATTTCTTTTCTACTAGGTTTATTTGATAAAAACAACTATCCTCATATGAGACTTTCATCTGATCCTATGGGGTGGAGGAAATACTTTCTTGGTTAAGAGTTTTTCATGTACCACCAATCCAGGAATGGATTAACAAGCTGTGGTATATGTATACCATGGAATACTATTCAGCCATTAAAAGAGATGGAGACATCTTTTTGTATTAACCTGGATGGAGGTGGAACATGTTCCTCTTAGCAAAGCATCAGGAGAATGGGGAAGCAAGAATTCAGTGTACTCAGTTCTGATATGAGGACAATTCATGACCTAGTACATGGTGGGGGTAGGGAAGTGGGGAGAGGCAAGAAAAGAGGAGGGGTGGGGAGTCACAGTGTGTGACACACCTCTTGGGGGCAGGACACAATTATAACAGAGAATTTACCTAACAAATGCAATCAGTGTACCCTGGTTCTTTGTACCTCAATGAATCCCCGACAATAAAAAAGAAAAAAATTCTGTAGATAAACATCCTGGATAACTGGATATCACATTTGATAGCAAATTACACAAGAAAGTAAACATCATATAGCTATTATTTATATTAAATGCTTGATATGTTCCAGGCAGTATTCTAAACACTGTAAGGATAAAGTTAATTAGTTAATTTAATCTTTACAATAGCTTTGCCATGAGTTTGTTTTACTATTTCTATCTGATTTTATAGGTAAGAAAAGAGACAAAGTGGCTATAGTGAAAGATTTCAAATTTTTGTATCAAGGAGGAAAATTTACAAGACAGTATTTTTATTACAAAAACTCATTGTTTTCTATGTAGCTCCGTATTACTGAAGTGCATAGATACAGTCAGTCTAGGTATTTTATGGGTATACATATTATCCCCTGGGATAATCTAGAGTACATATGAATCTATCAGATTTCAACTAATAAATTCAGAAAAAGTTGGAAAAATCAGTGAGTTATACATGAAACATTATTCTTGAATCGGCTGCTTGTTAAAGACAAGGAGAGCGTTAGTAAACAGCTTAGCTAGCTAGATTAGAATAAAGAAATTGTCTCTCTCCATCTGCTCTAATTAGCTTATCTCACCAGCTTTTACAGCATGCTGGTTATTTCAGAAAGGAAGTGAGAGCTACTTTGAAAGGACAAGCTTTTTCCTTTATGCTAATTTATCATGGTTTTGAAGTGGCTGTCCATTCCTAGACATAAACTTTTAAATGTTAGGTCTTTCCTGTAAGGATTTATTATTGGAAGTTTCAAGGCTTTGGACGTTCAATTAAGGATTTTGCCCTCTCCTTATTCCTTTGGTTTGGGCCCAAATGATTATGTTTCCTCTTTTTAGGAAGATTTCTCTGGGTATTTTGATACTTGCTCTGATAGAAGGAAACCTTCCATCTTTAACAGGTATTTAAAAGTCTACATTTGTTTTCATCTTTCTATATATCGATAGTATATGCTCTTCAAAAATAGCATTATTTGTTGTGATTGCTGTAGGAAATTGAATCAAATACTACTTTATCATCTGTGATATTGCTTCATTTAAACTTTTAAAATATATCTGGTAATTTTGTTTTTCCTTCTTCATTCCTGTTTTAAATCTTACTTCCTTTTATTTCTTATGTTAAAATTGGATGTGTACTTGATTTCAATAATAATCTTGAATTAAAGGAGTGGGAATTAAATGGAAGAAGATTGAATGTTTCCCTCCTCTCCTCCTTAGATATACATGCTTGTCTAATTTGCAAATGTAGCACACATCAGTTTTTCTTTGTTACTTTTTGTACTGTATCTTCACTCATCAGAGGAAGACTTGCTTATACTTTCCCTCTGTGTAGCACAAACCTACTTATCTTTAGAGGAGATCCAAGAACCCAAGAGTGCAGTTTCCTTTCTTCTGCCTGAAGAATCAACAGACCCTTCTCTATCTACTGAAAAGAAACAGCCTCTGGACGACAGAGAAGCTGAAAGACAGTGGTTACTCAGAAGGCGGAGATCTATTCTGTTTCCGAATGGAGTAAAAATCTGCCCAGAAGAAAGTGTTACAGAGGCTGTGGCAAACCATGTGAAGTATTTTAAAGTCCGAGGTAAGCAAACATCCAAATCCTTGTGCTCCATGATGAAGTTCAAATATGGTTCAATCACAGTTGTTGTATCACATCATAAGTCGAACTTTGTGCTAATTTAGGTAGGACTGAGCCAAATATTCTTTCTACTAGTTGTAAAAAAAGAACTTGCTAAGAATATAGTATTAAAAAAAAAAAGAATATAGTATTAACTGCAGAGAAAAGATTATTTTTATTTTAAAGTTTATTTTAAGAGAGGAAATGTTATAGATCTTTTTAAGCACTTCAAAATACGAGTCCATGTTACTGGATAAACTAATTACAGTTTTTACTTCATTACAGTAATGTAACTAAATATACCAACATAATATATTTACCAAAGTATACTCACCTGCTTGCCTACTTATACATGAAAATATAATCAGTTTCTATATTTTATAGCTTAGATATTCCATAGATTCCTGCAGGTTGCTCTCTAGTTGGTATACATAAAATTTTTATGTCTACTCAATGAATCCCCAACAATAAATTAAAAAAAAATTTATGTCTAAAATTATGACACTGCTCGCAATGGACCTTAAAGCAATACAAGTGGAATTTAATTTTATTTGATTCTTAATTAAACAGCATTATCCTTGATTTTATACTTTCTAATTACGTGAATTTATTCTCTGTTTCTTTTATATACCAACACGGCTTAATCGAACATAGTATATAATTTACATTTGGAGGATTTCCCAACTTTGTGTTTTGCTGCTCAAGAGCTAATAAACAGCCCTAATATGAATATGGTATCAGTAAAGTGGAGATAGATGATGAAATGGTTGTGAAATCAGGTTTATCCATTTATGCATTTATTCATTCATTTATTCAACAAATGTTTATTGAACCCCTACTATTTTCAAGGCACACCTGTTGGGGTTGTTACTTCATTGTTTCTATTTTCCTTTCATGTTCTTCTTCTTCTCCCTCACCAGAGTTTTTGAAATAAAATAAAAATTTAATAGTAGATATTACACGTTTATATATTTGATATTTTTGTTTGTTAAAGTGGTACAAGGTATTAGCGGCTCTTTTTTATGATTGTATTTGTGTTTCCTAGTTGTGTTTGGGAGCTCTCAAGCATTAGTAAACAGTAAACTTTCCTTTTCCTTTTTAAGTGGAGTCCATAGACCTAACATTTTGTTGGTCTATGGTCTTTTCTTTTATGTATCAACATATAGGGGATATGCCAGAAACGGAAAATTCCTAAGAGCATGGGAAGAGAATAAAGACACTGAATGTGAAGAAGAAAGACAGTTAGTAATTTATCAAGATGTGATTTCTACTACCTGAATTTTTACTTTATATCATTATTATTATTATTTTAATCATCTCAACATTTTATTAAAAGCTTTTGACAAAATTAAATACATTTTCATGATTAAAAATTCAAAATAGTATACATTCAAAAGTATACATCTTACATAACATAATAAGGTCATGTAAACAAGCCCTCAGATACCATTATACTCAACAGCGACACAACTCTAGTGTTTCCTCTACTATCAGGAACAAGACAAGGAAGCTTAATCTCTCCACTTTATTCAACATAGCCTTGGTGTATGTGGCCAGTGTCCTACCCACTGAGCTACAGGCGCCACCAGGTTACACATATTTAAAGTATTTCATTTGATTAGTTTTGAAAAGTTTATCCTTGAAAGCATCATTACAATGAAGATACCATGTCTAAACATTTCCTCATGGAAATTATATCCCTACCTCTCCTTACCCCAGTACTGAAGTGATTACTAATTTGCTTTCTCTATATATTAGCCTGCATTTTCTGTACTTCTGTATATAAATCAAATCATATGATGTACTCTTTCTTTTTGGTTTGGTTTCTTTTACTCATTGTAATTATTTTGAAATTCATCTTTTGTGTGTGTGTGTATCAATAGTTTACCTTTTATTGCTGCGTAATATTCCATTTTGTGTATATAACATAATTTGAGATGTTTGGATTGTTTTCAATTATTATGATTACAAAGAAAGAAATTATGACCTTTTGGATACAAGTTTTTGCGAGAACATATTTTTATTTCTATTGAGAAACAATACTACTGCGTCTGGTTACGTATATATATGTTTAACTTTTAAAGAAATTGTCAAACTTTCCTCATGTGACTATACCACCAGCAGTGTCTCAGGATTCATTTCTTCACATCCTTGCAACAATTGATAGGGTCAGTCTTTTTTAACTTTAGCTATTCTAGTGATCCATATCTTACTGTGATTTTAACTTGTATTTTTATAATGACTACCAACTAATGATTTTGAACACCTTTTTATGTGCTTATTTGTCATTTGTGTATCCTTTTAGCAAAGAGTTTTTTGAATATTTTGCCCATTTAAAAAATGTGTCATTTGTCATTAAGTTGTAAGGATTCTTAATGTTTTCTAGGTACAAGTTCTTTGTCAAATATATTTTTTGCATACATTTTCTCCCAATCAGTCAGTGGCTTGTCTTTTTATTTTACTAATGAATATTTTGTGGAGAAGTTTTAAATTTTGATAATGTCCAGTTTATCAGTTTTTTGGGAGGATCATGCTTTTGGTGTTCGATCTATGTTGGCTTAACCCAACATCACAAAGTATTTTCTTTTATATTTTTCTATAGAGGTTTTGTAGTTTTTATATCTTGGTCTATGATCTACTCTGAGTTAAATTTTTTTTTTTTTTTTTTTTTTAGAGACGGAGTCTCACTCTGTCATGTTTGTGTCACCCTTGGTAGAGTGCTGTGGCGTCACAGCTCACAATAGCTCTTGGGCTTAGGTGACTCTCTTGCCTCAGCCTCCCGGGTAGCTGGGACTACAGGCACCTGCCACAATGCCCGGCTGTTTTTTGTTGCAGTTTGGCTGGGGTTGGGTTTGAACCTACCACCCTCAGTATATGGGCCAGCACCCTACTCACTGAGCCACAGGTGCTGCCCTACTTTGAGTTAATTTTTATAGATAATATTTTGTAGATAATTTTTTGCATATGCCAATTGTTTCAGCACCATTTGTTAGAAAGATTATTCTTTCTTGCCTTTGCACCTTTGTTGAGAATTAGTCTTCTCTATAGGGTGGATCTATTTCTGTGCTCTTCATTCTGATTTGCTGATCTGTTTGTCTATTTTCATGCTAATACTGTACTGTTTTGCTTACTATATAGTTTATAATGAGACTTTGAATCAGATAATGTAAGTTCTTCAGCTTTGTTCCTTTTCAAATTTGCTTGGTTATGCTAAGATTTTTATATTCCATATAAATATTAGAATTAGCTTGCCAAGTTCTATAAAAAAGGCTGCTGAGATTTTGATTGGGATTGTGTTGAGTCTAGATCACTTTGGGAAGAATTGTCATCTTAATAAAACAGGTTGTCTTTTCCAAAATGCTTGGGACAAGACATATTTCAAATTTCAATTTTTTTCAAAGTTTAGAATATTTGCATATACATGATGAGGTGTCTCAGGCATGGGACCCAAGTCCAAATGAGAAATTCCTTATGTTTTACATACACCTTATGTATATAGCCTTAACAGGATCTAATACAATATTCTTTTTTTTTTTTTACACTTCTACTAATTTTCTTTTTTTTTTTTAAATTTCAGATTAACATGAGGGTACAAACGATTAGGTTACAATGTTTGCACTTGTTAGGTAAAGTCCCTGTTGTAGTGTACCCAGGAGCTGTGCCATATACCCTTACGCTGTACCCATTAGGTGGGAACACAGTGATCCTCCTCCCTCTTCGCCTCTTCCCCCTCCCTACAATATTCTGGATGGTTTTATATATGAAACAAAGTTCATGTATATTGAACCATTGTAGGTTTTACTATCTCAGTCACCCCAGTGGACGATCTGTGATTGTTTGGCATCACCATTATTCCCGACTCTGAATTTATACGCCACCAACAAGTAATTATTCTCTTATATTTATTCACCCATAAGTACTTTAACAATAAATAATTAAACATAACATTAATCCAGTGAAAAAAATAATGTGTTCAGGTTAACTAAGCAGAACAGTATCATCACCAGAATACCTATATCAGCTGTTAAATAATAGCAGCAATGAAGAATGACAGGCTTTTAGTCTCCTCTTCCAATGCTATGTTGTTTTTTGTTGTTGTTTGTTTGTTTGCAGTTTTTGGCTGGGGCTGGGTTTGAACCTGCCACCTCCAGCATATGGGGCTGGTACCCTACTCCTTTGAGCCACCGGTGCCAACCCAATGCTATGTTTTGATTAAAAGATTACTGTATGTTGTATGTTATTTATTTTTGACAGATGTTGGTGCATCTGGCCTACACAGGTGCCATTTTATTACTCTTTGTGGGTGTGCCTGGTGGGGGAATCTGCTGTGGGAGGAAAAGATACATCGTTAGACTGAAGGAGACTGGGAGAGTCTGTTCTTGTGTGCCCGTCTTTTGACTGTGACCCACGCAGTAAGGACACAAATGGGAATGACTGTGCAGGGCAGGGGTGGGAGAAGTCCTGATTTGAAGAATGCGTTGGCACTTTCTAGTGAATCAGAGTGGGAAACAGCTTGTGGAAGGTCTCAGCACCCCAAAGCTGGATCTAGTTCCATTTGTTTAAAATTCACTAGGGAAGGGGTAGGTAGAGTCCTCAGGGATGAGGCCATTCATAGCCCAAACTTGACCCACACATGGAGTTGTCAGATTTAGCAAATATAAATGCAGGGCACCCAAGTAAATTTGGATTTCAGAGAAACTAAAAATAATCTTTTTAGTTTACATGTCCCGTGCAATATTTGGGACATAGTACTATACAAATCTCAGTTTGATCTGCAGGTTTGTTAGAAAAATTATGCAATTTAAAAAAAAATCTCTTTTTCTTTACCCTTGAAATACAAATAACAGTATTATTTTTAATGGTCTTAGTGAATATTAGCTAAGACTATTAAAAATAATATTGTTATTTGCTAGGGCCATTGGATATCCCAAATTGATGTTAGTGTCACTGGGTAAGTGGAAGGAACATACCAGTAACCATTTTTGTTTAATGGACAGATCTTGAGTATCTTTTATCAGATTTATTTTTAAGGATTTCACAGCTTTTCATGCTATCATTATCATGCTATACTATTCCTTGCTAGTATATAGATATGTATGTACAGCTGATTTTTGTATATTTACCTGCAACTTTGCTGAACTCACTTATTAGTTCTAATAGCTTTTTGTATATTTCTAAGGGTTTTCTGGATAGATAATTATTTCATCTGGAAATAGAGTTTTACTATTTCTATTTGTATGTCTTTTATTTCTTTTTCTAGCCTAATGGCTCCGAGGTTGACTATTCCATAGGTTTTGGGCTCCATAATTCTGAAAGGAGAATACATTACCCTAAAAAAAGATAGCTCCATACTAGGTTCCTGGATTTCTATGTGTTAGATAAGGCACACCGCCTGAGACCTAGTAAAAGGATTAAAGACAGATTAAACCCTAGCGTTTTCTTCTTCAGAATGTTACCATCACATTTTCCCTTCCTCTACCAGTTTGCAGGGCAGTTTATCTCTTCAAGAAGAAAGACATTTGTAGATTTGTTATCCTCTCAAAAATAGAGTTCTCTTTAGCAGTTACTAAAGGCTGAATGAAAATTGTTTGGCAAGAATGGGAATTCTGAACAGGCGTAGTTATAGGCCAAATTAGCCAAGTATGTGGCCTTTGTTTGTAGTGGAGTTTTGTCTGTCTTAGTACTTTCCCTGGAATCATGCTGATCTTGCTCTTGTCTGTCTACACTATAGTGTTCTGTTTAGATGTCTCCTGTCTGAGCTGTGTGAATGCTCCAGACTGCCCTCAACTCTCCTTCTCTATTAAATTATTCTGGATTCTATAATTCCATGTTAGTAATTAACTGGACCTTCTTGTTAGATAGCTCCCAACTATCCAAAAGGCATTGGATAAGTCAAGGTTGCATTACCTTTCCAGAGGGAATTGCATTTTTACAGCTTTTATTGAGATATAATTCACATATCATATAATTTTCTCAGTTAAAATACAAAATGTAGTGGTTTTATAGTATAATCACAGATACACGAAATCACCACAGTCAGTTTAAGAACGTGTTCATCGCCTCAAAAGAAACCCCATGCCCTTTAGCTCTCACCCTATCAATTTTTTATTGTTCTCCCACCTCTCCATTAATCTACTTTTAAAAATTTTTTAAATTTATTTATTAGTTTTTTTGAGACAGAGTCTCACTCTGTCCCCCTGGGTAGAATGCTATGGCGTCACAGCTCACAGCAACCTTAAACTCTTGGGCTCAAGCAATCCTCTTGCCTCATTCTCCCACGTAGCTGGGACTACAGGTACCCACCAAAATGCCTGGCTATTTTTCAGAGACAGGGTCTCGCTCTTGCTCAGGCTCGTCTCCAACTCATGAGCTCAGGCAATCCCCATGCCTTTGTCTCCCTGAGTGCTAAGATTACAGGCATGAGTCACTGCACCCGGTCTGATCTACTTTTAGTCTGTATAGAATGGCCTATTCTGGATATATTATAAAAATGAGATCATATAACATGTGGTCTTTTATGACTGTTTTCTTCTTCTTCTTTTTTTTTTTTTTTTTTTGCAGTTTTTTGGTTTGAACCCACCACCTCTGGCATATGGGGCTGGTGCCCTACTCCTTTGAGCCACAGGCGCTGCCCCATGACTGTCTTCTTTGGCTTTGCATATTATTTTCAAGGTTTATCCATGTTGTATGTGTATCAATACTGTATTCCTTTTTACGGCCCAACAATAATAGTCTATCATATGAATATATTGCTTAAGTTTACTCAGTTGCCAGTCAATGGCCATTTGGTTTGTTTTTATTTCTCTTAAGTACATATCTGCGAATAAAATTTCTTGGTCATAACTTTATGTTTAACTATATGAGGAATTACCAGACAGATGTCCTAAATGGCTGTAACATTTTACATTCCTACCAGTAGTATATGAGGGTTTTGATTTCTTTCCATCTTTGCCTGCATTCTTTTCTTTTATTTTTAAAAAAAATGGTTATAACTGTTTTAGTGCCCGTGAAGTGGTACCTTGTGATTTTTATTTGCATTTGGATAAAAACAGTAAGCATCTTCATATGCTTATTGCTCATTCATATATCTTCTTTTGAAATAAGTCTATCAGATCCTTGTCTATTTTTAGTTGTGCTATTTGTCTTTTTATTATTGAGTTGTAAGAGTCATTTATATACTCTGGATATAATTTCTCATCAGATAAATGATTTAAAAGTGTTTTATCCTATTTTGTGGCTTGTTTCTTTACTTCCCTGAGTCTTTCATGCACAAATTTTTATTTTGATGAAGTTAAATTTATCTGTTTTTTTGTGTGTGCTTTTTTGTGTCATAACTAAGAATCCATTGCCAAATCTGAAGTCATAAAAATTACTATGTTTTCTTCTAAGGATTTTATGGTTTTGGCATATACATTTAAGTCTTTGAAATATGTTGAGTTAATTTTTTGTATATGATGTAAGTGTCCGAATTTATTTTAATTTTGCATGTGATCCACTTGTCCCAGCACCATTTGTTGAAAAAAAAAAAAAAAACCAACTATTCTTTCTCCATTGTGTAGTCTTAGCATTCTTTCTGAACCAGAGACACATGATTTCTTTCTATTCCATTGATTTATCTTTCTGTTCTTGTGCCTGTACCACACTATTTTAATTTCTGAAGGGAGTACAAATTATCTTCAAATCTGAAAAGTTTATACATACAGAAGGACTTTGACAGAGAATTATACCTGCGTCCCACCAGAAAGAGTGTCTCAGGGGAATCTGAATGAATCAGTCCATGATCATTGTGAGAATCCCCAGAACATGTTAGCTTTTTATAAAAATGCCTCTTTGTCCATTTTCCAGTGTGCCAGGAGGCTGTCTGGGAAGCCTTCAGGACTTTTTGGAATCGACTTCCTGGGCGTGAGGAATATCGTTATTGGATGAATTTGTGTGAGGATGGAACCACAAGTATATTTGAAATTGGCACAAATTTTAGTCAGTCTGTGGAACATAAAAGCTTAATTATGAAGGTAAGTGTCATAAGAAGGGGGGAAAGAATGGCTGAACTGTTGTAGGAATGTATACACAGACAACTAAGACCTAAGAAAAAGCAAGTGGCAAAATCCTTGTATTATTCTTTTTTGTTGAATGGGGCTATCCAAGTGAGCTGCCCTAGGGCATGGCCTAGACTTTCATTCCTAGCTCTGGCCTTTATAGTAAACATTGTTAACCAAGATAAAGGCCTCAACCTTATTTATAAGTGTAAACATTTAGAAATAATATTCAGCAAAGGTTTAGGCTAAGAATATAAATCTGTGAGAGTCAAACATTTTTGACAAAGTTTTACATATTCAGAGTGGATACCAAAAAATCTGATTTAATGAGGTATAAATATGATTCTAGTAAATTAATTTTCTTACTTATTATCCTTATTTTAGACATTGCTTTACTCTGAGCAAAGGATAAATAAGCATGCATATTGGGCAGTGCCTGTGGCTCAGTGGGTAGGGCGCCAGCCCCATATACTGAGGGTGGCAGGTTAGAACCCAGCCCTGGCCAAACTGCAACAACAAAAAAATAGCCAGGTGTTGTGGCAGGTGCCTGTAGTCCCAGCTATTCGGGAGGCTGAAACAAGAGAATTGCCTAAGCCCAGGAGTTGGAGGTTGCTGTGAGCTGTGACGCCACGGTACTTTACCGAGGGTGATAAAATGGGACTCTGTTTCAAAAAAAAAAAAATCATGCATATATACAAATTACCTGCCCAACTTTCCCTTTTCACCTGGCATGCATGTATTCATGACAAGAAAATTGAAATATTCAGATATGTGTACATACGGCAAATTGTTCATGCTGTCTTATATCCCCTGCGTCTCTCTGTCCTCCTGTTCAGGTCATATATATCCTCACCTCTGAAGAAACATCCCTTGTGAGGAATCAGTCCTTAGCCTAGCAGATTTAGCTTCCATAATTCTTTGATCTCTCCTTTTATTCCCCCCTGCCCTTTTTTTAAGAGATAGAATCTTATTATGTTGCCCTCGGCAGAGTGCCGTGGTGTCACAGCTTACAGCAACCTCCAACTCTTGGACTTAAGTGATTCTCTTGCCTCAATCTCCCAAGTAGCTGGGACTACAGGCGCCAGCCACAACACCAGGCTGTTTTCATTGTAGTTGTCATTGTTGTTTGGCAGGCCTGGGCTGGGTTTGAACCCGTCAGCTCCGGTGTATGTGGCTGTCACCCTAGCCACTGAGCTACAGGCGCTGAGCCCAATTCTTTGATCTCTCATAATTATTTTTTTATTCTTTAATATTGTACTTTTAAAATTTTATTATTATTATTAGCTAAATATGTGACTAATTCTTCTACTAGTCTATGACTCAAAGGGCAAGGATTATGTCATTTCTTCGTTTTTTCATTTCTTAGATATAATAAATATGCAATAGATCTTTGTTAAAAGTTAAAAGCAATAACCACATTGTATTTTTCTTACTTGCTTCAGTACATAAGCTTTATAAATGTTATTTTGTTCTAAGTATTATATATCTTACAGGAACTGAGTTACTGATTAAATAACTCTGAACTATTTTCAGTCTAATCAATCAGATAGTAACAAGTAATAAAATATATCATCTTTTTCTTTCTGTTTAAAATTTTATTTATAGTAGAGGCAATGCTATTATTTTATTTTAATATTTAGTCCCACAGAGGGATGATTTCATTAAGTGGGGGCAAATTGGACAGAGAAGGATGATCTGATAAACATGGGTGGACCAAAGATAACTTTTGCAGGGTAATAAGCATTTTGAAAGTGTGGAGGTTTTGCATGTTTTGAAATTAACTCTATTTTTAGAGTTGTCTCTAAAAGTTATGTCTAAAAGTTTTTCTCTTTAGACTTTTAGGGCTGATTTAACAGTTTTGAATTGTAAATTGAATATGTTTTCTCGGTTAGATTTTTGTGTGCTCAATATTGTTAATAAAAGCTATCATTTGTTCAGTATTAAGCCCATTAAAAACATTGTGTCTAATAAATAGCAAGCATACAAGGAGGTGGTAAAGTTCTCGTTTTACAGATAAGGACTTTTTACAGGTAAAGACATCAGAGCTATTAAGGTCTTTATCCTATCACAAAAGCAGATGTGTTGGAGTTTAATACAAACCCATTTCTCCTTTCCAAAGTTCATGTTCTTTCCCCCATACCATTGGGCCTCCCTTCTCAATCATTACTGATTTTACAAATGGCAATGGTTAACAATGAACTCAAAGGAAAACATACATACATGCACATACATGTATACACATTTATGCTTATAACAGCATAATCTATCTCATTTTTTTTTTCTTTTTTTGAGACAGAGTCTCACATTATCGCCCTGAATAGAGTGCTATGGCATCACAGCTCATGGCAACCTCAAACTCTTAGGCTTAAGCAATTCTCTTGCCTCAGACTCCCAAGTAGCTGGTACTACAGGTGCCTGCCACAACGCTCAGCAATTTTTTTGTTGTAGTTGTCATTGTTTAGCAGGCCTGGGCTGAGTTCAAACCCAGTGTATGTGGGCGGCGTCCTACGCACTGAGCTATGGGCCCTGCCCAACATAGTCTATCTCATTTGTGCCCACAATACAAGATCAGCTGTTATAGCAGCAAATATATATAGTAAGTTAGTATTGCTATTACAACAAAGTCCTGGGATGTTACATTGTAATGTTTCTCTTACAAGTGGAACTTTTAGTAAGTTTAGATATGAAGGCATAGAAAATATACTTTCAATGATTTTTAGTAGAACAGGCAGACAAAGGGGATGTGTTGCCTGGAGAAAGTCTTCAGTGATAAGTACATTTAAGGTTAGTTAAATGAGGACGAGTAGCAGATGGACATTCCAGGCAGAGAGGACAGCATGAGCCAGCTGTTTATAGGGAATAGTGTGAGCAGTATGCCAGAAGGGTAGATTAGAAATGACAGGAGATCAGACTAGCAAAGTAGACAATAAGCTGGGATTTGACTCTGTAGGTGATAGGAAACCATTGAAGGGTTGCGAGTAGGGAAGTCATAGGGCTGATTTGACAGTTGTGAATTTTAAATAGGTCATTATGGCTTCCACACGCCATGTGATGGATTACAGGGGATAAGACTGGAGTAAAGAGACCAGGTGGAGTGTTGCTTTAGTATCCCAGGCCTAAGATGATGCAGGTCCTAACCAGACAATGGGATAGAGAAAGGGAATTTGAGAGACTTAAGTCGGAACCCGATTTGGCTCTGATGGATTAGATAGGAGTGGTCAAGGGTGAAGCGATGGCTCAGGAAGCCTTTCAGTTTCTAGCTTGGGTGACTACAGCTGAGAACTGAGGCAGAGAAGTGGATTTGTAGATTAGCAGGGATAATGAGTTCACTTTGAATGTGTTCATTTGAGCTTCCTGTGTGAAATGTGAATTGCTCATTATTTAAATATGGAGCCAAGGACAGGGGTTTGGGTTGTAAAATTCAGCATAGGAATCAGCAGCCTTGAGGTAGTTTGGGGTACCTTAAAGCTGTGCTTTATTGCGCTTTGCAGATACTGTGTTTTTTATAAATTAAAGTTTTGTGGCGACCCTATGTTGAGTAACTCTGTTAGCACCTTTTTTCCAAAAACATGTGCTCATGTCACATTTTGGCAATTCTTGCAACATTTCAAACTTTATCATTAATATACAGGGGTGCCAAAAAATATATACACAATTTAGAAGATCATGTTGGAAGTAAAATCTATCATTCCCCACAAGTGTATGAATTGCAGGCAAAACAGATAGCATTAAATGTCTAGGTATGCTTGGCCAGTAATAGTACCTTTAATTCAACTTTGAAAAGTCATACACAGTTAACAAACATCTCTTAAAATGTGTATACATTTGGGGGGCGCCGTTTGTGTATTATAGCAGTCAATGATCTTTACTGTTACTATTGTAATTGTTTTGGAGCACCATAAACCATCCCCATTAGAGATGATGAACTTAATCAATAAATGTTATGTGTGTTCTGACTGTCCCACCAGCTCACCATTCCCCCACTTCTCTACTTCTCATCAGTCTTCCCTATTCCCCGAGACACAACAATATCGAAATTAGGCCAGTTAATATCCCTGCAATGGTCTTTAAGTGTTCAAAGGAAAGGAAGAGTTGTATGTCTCTCACTTTAATAAAAAGCCAGATGTGATTAAGCTTAGTGAGGAAGACGTGTTGCACCAGACAGTTAACCAAATTGTGAATGCAAAGGAAAAGTTCTTGAAGGACATTAAAAGTGCTACTGCTGTGAGCACACAACTCATAAGAAAGCAAAACAACTTTATTGCTACTGTGGAGGAAGTTTTAGTCGGCTGGATAAACACCAAACCAGCCACAGCATTCTTTTAACCAAAGCCTAATCCAGAGCAAGGCCCTGTTCTCTCTGGTTCTATGAAGGCTGAGAGAGGTGAGGAAGCTTCAGAAGAAAGGTTGGAAGCTAGCAGAGGTTGGTTCATGAGGTTTAAAGAAAGAAGCCATCTCCATTACATAAAAGTGCAAGGTGTAACAGTAAATGCTGATGTAGAACCCTGTTGCAAGTTGTCCAGAATATCTAGCTATAAGTGATATTCTGAAGGTATTAGTGATATAAGATGAAATGGCTACACTACAGAACAGGTTTTTCATGTAGACAAAACAGCCTTCTATTAGAAGAAGATGCCGTCTAGGACTTTCATAGCTAGAGAAGAGTCAATGCCTTGGCTTTAAAGCTTCAAAGGACAGACTGACTCTCTTTTTAAAGGATCACACCCATGATGCATAATGCAAGGGTACATGTCAGATCTATTAGTATAGAGTATAAATGTCTTAACACAATAATTAAGTAAACAAGATGAGGTATATTTTAACCAGTGTGATGTAAGCATTCCTAATTCTATATGAAATCAGCACATTGTACCCCATAAATGCATTAATGTATACATGATTTATGTGTTTATGACTTAATAATAAAAAAAAAAGGCTAATGCAGTTGGTGGCATTAATTTGAAGCCAATGCTCATTTACCATTCCAGAATCCTAGGGCCCTTAAGAACTATGCTAAATCTTCTTTGCCTGTGCTCTTTAAATGGCACAACAAAAATTGGATGATAGTACATCGTTTACAGCATGATTTATGGAATCTTTTAACCCCTCTGTTGAGACATGCCGCTCAGAAGAAAAGATTTCTTTGAAAACATCACTGCTCATTGAGAATTTGCCTAGTCACTCAAGTCCAGGAGAGACATATAGGAAATTAATGTTGTTTTCTTGATGGCTAGCACAATATCCACTCTGTAGATCAATGAGTAATTTTGATTTTCAGGTGTTTTTGAGAAATTCCTTTCATAAGACTAAAGCTGCTGTAGATAGTGATGCTTCTGATGGAACTGGGAAAAATAAATTGAAAGCCTTCTGGAAAGTATTTATCATTCTAGATGGAATTAATAACATTTTTGATTCGTGGAAGGAGATCACAATATCAATGTTAATAGTAGTTTGGAAGGAGTTGATTCCAACCCTCATGGATGACTTGAATGGGTTCCCACCTTCAGTGGAGGAAGTAACGGCAGATGTGGTGGAAACCTCAAGAGTTGGGCGTGTAGTTTAAAGATGAGGCTGAGTTGTTGTAATCTCTGACAAAACTTGAACAGATGAAGTATTGCTTCATATGAATGAGCAAAGAAATGGTTTGTAGAGATGGAATGAACTGATGAAGATGCTGTGAACATTGTTGAAATAACAGCAAAGAATTTTGAATGTTAGATAAATTTGTTTGGTAAAATAGTGGCAGGGGTGAGAGGATTGATTCCAATTTTGAAAGTTCTACTGTAGGTAAATGCCATCAAATAGTATAGCATGCTACAGAGAAATCTTTCATGAAAGGAAGTGGCAATTGATGCAATAAACTTCACTGTAGTCTTAAGCTAGAAATTGCCATAGCTACCCAGCCTTTGGCAACCACCAACCCCTCTGATCAGGGAGCAGCCATTATCATTGAGGTAAGCCATTATTATTACCAGCAAAAGTAATGATGACTTGCTGAAGGCTCAAATGATTGTCAGCATTTTTTTTAGCAATAAAGTTTTTTTCCCTATTTTTAAAAAGTTTAAAAAATAGATTTATGGGGTAAAATTAAGAGATTATTTTTTATTTAAGGCATGCACTTTTTTTAAGATAATGCTATTACACCCTTAATAGACTATAGTGTAAATATAACTCTTATATGCACTGGGAAACAAAAAATTTGAGTAACTTGCTTTATTGCAATATTCACTTTATTGTGTTTTATTTGGTTTGGAGCTGAACCTGCAGTATATTGGGGGAATACCTGTAATTGAAATTGTGAGAGTGGCTGAGATTATTCTGAGAGTAGAGTAAGAAGAGCAGTGAGTCACTTGTAAATACATTGAGAGGTATTTAGAGTAATAGTCTCTCTGTTTTACAGATGAGGAAGTAGAGGCCTGGCGTCAGAGAGACTTTGGTATTTGCTCATATAGCTAAGGAGAGGAAACTGGAGCTTGAAACTAGGTTTCCTGATTCCACACTTAGTGTTCTTTTCATCATGTTGGTCTCAAAAGAAAACCATTAATATAGAGAAAACATGCATACGATTTGCTTATTTGCTTTGGAATGCCCCTGAGCAATAATCCAAATACTGATATCTTTTTGTTTGAGTTCTGTAGAAACAGTTTTAATAGTTATTTTATCCACATTTATGTTGTTCTAGGATGAGAGCTACTATAAATACATGAGGTCACAAAATTTATTTATTGTACATTTGTTCATGTACAACTCTGCCCATCTGTAACTGTAGACCATGTTGTAATGATAAGCAGGTAAAGTCTGTAGATCTGTGCCCATTAAGAGCGAGCGCAGAGGCTCAGCGTCTGTAGCTCAAGCTGCTAAGGTGCCAGCCACGTACACCAGAGCTGGTGGGTTCGAATCCAGCCTGGGCTGACAAATGATGGTCAACAACAATGATGATTATAACAAAAAAAAACAAAAAATAGCCAGGCATTGTGGTGGGCGCCTGTAGTCTCAGGTGCTTGGGAGACTGAGGCAAGAAAATCGCTTAAGCCCAGGAGTTGGAGATTGCTGTGAGTTGTGATGCCAGTTGGAGCTCTACCCAGGGCAACAGCTTGAGGAACTGTCTCAAAAAGAAAAAAAAAAGCGCAGAAACTTTGGGACACAAACAGAGACAGAATGTTGAGCCATTCCCACAGTTACAAAACAAACTTGGCATGTTAGTACCTGGTTCAATAATTTGTCTAACCTTAGAGATTGGTAACATAGATTCTACTATAATAGGACAGTAGAGGTCTCTATGGAATAAATTTTATTTACTACTTAATGACTTGTTAACTCAGTCATTTTTATATCTTTGTTTTCCTTAGAAACTGACTGACACAGATGAAACTGTGAGCAGGTGAGTGTCTCTTTTTCCCTAAGTTCATGTTTGGCAACATAGATGTGTCACACCTAATTCAAGACTCACTCCAAATTTAATGATGCGTTTCTATTTTCTTACTAGTTCCTGCAATGACCAGGCCTGGGGCTAAGTTCCAAATATTTTTTCTCATCTTTAGGCCACCTCCCTTTCTAGACTGCCCCATAGCCACTGTGCTGTTTACTGTCTGACTTTATCAAGAGGCAGAACTTTTCCTCTCTTGGATAAGAAAACAGGTCTATAGTTTATACAGAATCATCTACTGTTGTTGAGGTTTAAAGGCTAGTGATGAAACTATTCTGAAGTGGTACACCATAGTGGAGGATAGTTTATTATTAATAAAAGGATGGGTGGTAGTAGGCATCAATTGCTTGACTATTAATCTTTACAGTCTTGAAACATAGGAATAGCACAACTTTGATGAATCTATCAGTTCATGACTGTTGGCTCTATTGACCTTTAGGCTTAGGGATAAGGCCATTTCTGACTCCTAGGCAGTAGTAGTACATAGATCACAGAAAATGTGGGATTTCAAGTCTATAGAGATTTACCCAATACTGTCCATCCTCAGAATATCTATATTATGCTAGTGTGTGGGTTGGTTGCACAGGACAGTACCATTAAGGCATGCAATCTAGATCAAAGTCCAGAATTTTGCCTCAAATTAGAGGTAAGGAAAGCGTGCAAAACTAAGTAGGTTGAGTCAGTGTCCAGAGACACAGCTGGGGCTGCGGAATTAAGGCAAAAGCACAGTTGGAGTTTACATGTGTGTGGTAGTGGGGTATATCTAGGTTTCGAATTGAACTTAAGCATTCTAAGAGGAGGGAAGTAGGACTATTTGTTATTTTGTTCATACAGCCAATACTGCCAAGTTTATGCTGAGGCTTGGGATTAAGCTTCTACTTAGATGAGCGGCCATGTGGTCTTTTGGGGGGGGGGTCTCTTCACCACAGAGGGGCAGAGCTCAGTTTCCCTGTGATTGCCATCATAACAGACAGTGGATTAAATATTCTGGTGAGTCCTACCAGTCCCAATAATTTTGACAGCTGTATAGTAAAGGCCTATGCTGGTCCTGACACAGAGAAAGAAATTTGAACAGGGGCTTGAAACAAGGAGCCTGAAGGAACTTGACTATTCCTGGACTCCCCATACTAGTTATTTCTCCTTGATGCTTGCCCCTATTTCGTGTGATAGAGGAGATGGAGCAGAGGGTCAGTTGTGTGGCATCGAGAATCTGTCATGATAAAGTGTTCTGGGTTGGGGATTCTACTTCAGAGACCTGTGTTGATGAAAGATAGTGTTTGGTTGATATTTCTTACCTGTGAATTTGCTGGACTGGTTGGTGGTTGGCTCTCTGTATAGCAATGTGAGGAAAAGGAAAATTATCTAATTTGATAATATAAAAATTTTATGAGCTGGGGTTTATTAGAAAGCACCCCCACATTCAGTAATGGTTCTATTTAAAAATATTTTTTTTTTGAAAAAAAGGTTAAATTATGAAATACCTTACAAGCTCTGACTCTCGTGCTCTAGGAGATGATGGCAAACGCGGTAAGCAAGGCATTGGGAGTGCATCAAAATCCTACATACACACTTAGGACAAGGCATTCAACTTTATTTAGAAAACTGTTAGGCACACATTTTATCTTTGCTAAACTTAATATGTTTAAACTTTTTTTGTTTGTTGACTGCCTAGGCAATATAATCACTTTCTGCTTTTGCCATTCAAAGAATTTTTTGTTGCTGATTATATTGAGAAATAGATCTTCATTTAGTTTTCCACATCAAATATTAGAATTTGTTTACCAATAAAAATGGGTGGTGCCTGTGGCTCTAGGAGTAGGGCACCGGCCCCATATGCTGGAGGTGGCAGGTTCAAACCCACCCCCAGCCAAAAACTGCAAAAAAAAAGTTGTTTGTCAGATTCATTAAAATAAGTCTCATTTAATGAAACGTACTCTACTCTCTGGGGATAGAGTAGGAATACAACTGGCCTGGGAGTCAAAAGAACTTTTCTTTCCACTTCTAATTGGCCACTTGGTTTTAGATGAATCACTTAAAACAGTGTCTTTATTGATCAACTGAAAGGAAGACAACTCATATTTATGATGACATCTCTACCTGAATGTCCAATAGGGATCTCAAACCCAGCATATCCGCAGTTGAACTCCTGATCCTGCCGTGCTCCCACCCTGATTAACTCTACCTGCGGCCTTCTCCATCCCTACTGGTGACAACTTCATTATCAAACCTTTGTGGTCATTCTTTATTTTCCCCTTTTTCTCACACCTCATATCCTATCCATAAGGAAATTATGCTGCCTTTATATTCAAAATACACCTTGAATCTGAGCACTGTTCACCATCTGCTACCATTGGTTGGAGCACCCAGCATCTTTTACTTTTGCAATAGCTTCTTAACAGTTCTAACCCTTTCCCTCTACAGTGCGTTCTCAATACAGCAGCCAGAGTGATTTTGTTATTTCCTTTATTAGTCTTTGTCAGCAAAGGGAATTTTAACATTTGCTTAGAAGGGTGTTTATCAACTTTTCTCTCGGAGTTCCCCAGTGGCAGAAAGTATGGATCGAATGGCTCTAAGAGTTTTTTTCACAAATTCAGACTTCCTTTTCTTTTCTTAAAACGTCATGTACTCTTTTCTATTTTACGTTACAATGTGTCAGTATGTATTTTATATACAATGATTTATTTCCTCTAATACCTCGGAAAACTGGCAGCTTTAGGAATGGAATAGAATTTATCCTGTGGCTTTTGGTGAACTGTTAAATACTGTGAATGTACGTACTATTTAGAAAGATAGCCTTAGAGCAAACAAACATATGTGGGGTTTACCCAGAAACTTTCTATGAAAGCAAAATGTATTCATCATGTAGTTAGTTCTGCTGCATGGTATATATGCTTTCCTAAAAACCATTGAAAATCATGCAATAAAAACTACAGGGCCATTGGGAAAACTGGAGCTAGGAGCACACTAATTAAAACCTTTGTTAATAATACTTAAAAAGAGAGAAACCTAATAAACATGGCAGCACAGTTTAAACATCCCGTGTGGTTAGAAATACATAAATTACATAATCAATATGGCACTTGACTTTGAAGAATCCCTGAAGTGTGCTTGTGAGAGTACAAGTTGGGAAGGTCGTAGCTTGTGAGTTACTGCACAGTGGTGGAAAGAGGGTGATCTGAAGTCAGCTGGGGAGCTGTAACACCAGGTGAGGAGGAGCGTGGTTCCCCGCACAGTTCCGGCAAACTGAAGTCCCTGGAAAATATTTGAGGTGTTGTGCCTGTGCGTGCTTTGTATATTCCTATGTGACCTCTCTTCATCTGGTGACCTAATTGTTTCTCACAGTGAAATTGTGCATAAGTAATGGAGAAATTTGTGTTATGCTCAATTTTTGCTAACATATTAATCATGTTGAAACACATTCACAAATGTCATAGCAGAATTGGCTGTATCTTGTATGTTTCTTGATAAGGCACTGCCTATGCTAGGTATAATAGGGGACTCAAGATATTATTCATTATTCTTAGAAAGTAGGGCGGGTGTAAAAATAACAATACATGCAAACTAAAATAGAAGTGAATTTTGAGAATTTATTTATTTATTTTTTTTGAGACAGAGCCTCAAGCTATCCCCCTGGGTAGAGTGCTGTGGCTTCACAGCTCACAGCAACCTCCAACTCCTGGGCTCAAGCGAGTCTCTTGCCTCAGTCTCCTAAGTAGCTGGGACCACAGGCACCCGCCACAATGCCCGGCTATTTTTTGGTTGCAGCCATCATTGTTGTTTGGCGGGTCCGGACTGGATTCAAACCCGCCACCTTAGGTGTATGTGGCTGGTGCCTTAGCCACTTGAGCCACAGGCGCTGAGCCAATTTTGAGAATTTAAAAGTTTGTATCCTTCCCATGAAACTCAGGTAAATCAGACTGGTATCGGGTGGAAACTGCCAACTGTGTTAGGTGGTGAGAGGGGGTGACCTGGAGCGAGGTTGCTCAGGGAGTGGGAACAAGGGAGTGACCTGAGTATTGACTAAGCTGATCTTTCTCCAATCAGGTATGATAGTCATCCATTAAAATCCTAATTTGCCTACCACTTGTCTATATTCAAATTTATTTTTATGATTTTTTTGGAGATCATTTTTATATTCTCCATGTTAAGAGATTCTTGTATTAGTTTTCTATTTCTACCCAAACTTGGCAGCTTAAAACCACATAGACTTCTTATCTTATGATTTTGTGGTTTGGTTCAGAAATCTCTTAGGGGTTTCAAAGTATTGAGAGGGTTGCATTTCTCTCCAGAAGCCGTAGGGAGAATCTGTTTTCTTGCCTTTTCCAGCTACTAGAGACCACCCACATTTCTTGGCTAACCACCCTCTTCCATTTTTTTTTTTAATTTGTTTGTGGTTTTTAGCCAGGGTGGGGTTTGAACCCGCCACCTCCAGTATATGGGGCCACCGCCCTACTCCTTTGAGCCATAGGTACCTCCTACCCTCTGCCATTTTCAAAGCCAGCAATTCAAGTTTGGTCAAGTCTTTCTCCTGTTATATCACTCTGACTTTTTTCTACCTTCCTCTTCCAAAGTTAAGGGATCTTGTGATTACATTGGGCCTACTGTATATCCCAGGATACTATGCCTATTTTAAGACCAGCTGATTAGCAATCTTAATTCTATCTGCAGCCTTAATTCCTCTTTGCCATGTAACCTGGCCCATTCACAGGTTCTGGGGATTAAGATACGGACATCTTTGGAAGGCTATTATTTTGCCTCTCACACTTCTTCTGTGTAATTTAAATTGTAGGACTCCCTGTGAATTCTAACTCATTTGCTCATGTATGACTTATAATAAGTATCCTGCTCTATCCCATTTTAAGCTCTCCCCACTATCATTTGCCAATTCTCTTAAGTAAACATTTTTCACCTGTATTCAGCATGTACTGCATTCCCTCTTTTCTTAGAAGCCTCGG